TGATTCAAATATAGAATGAGTCCAGGAATTAAGATGATATGAATATGAGACTATGCTCTTAATTCTCTATGTATTTTGTATTTCCCAGGAAATTGGCAGAAATTGGGATTGAGAGAAAGACTAAATCAGGTCTCAAGTCTTCAGTGAATGAGGTAGGGATTTATAGATGATAGCAACAAAGAGTAGAGGGTAAAATAAGTAAATGGCTACTCCCTATAGCCTCACGAAGCTTTTACATGAGGGAGAGAATGATAGCAGTGAAAAACCAGGAAAAGGTCAACCTCCTCTGTTTGCCCAGTGGAATAGGCCGTACTGATCAGTAATTGACTTCTGTAAAGTGAGAACCAAATTTCAATTAAGACTTAGAAACAGAGTACCTTTTATGGAAAAAAGCTTAGGCCTAGAACTGTGCTTCCAGAAGATTAGAAAAATACAGAGAGAGAAGTTATCGGTGACAGCAGCAGAGAGGTTAGGTTACCTTTCACCATCTGACCAAAGCTTATAAGGATGAGAAATATACTTGAAAGTGACTGACTTCAAATATTTTAATATTTGCACACATCACTGAGAGCACCACATGGTTGCTGGCTCTGTCTTAGCAAGGTAGTGTGGGCCACTGTAGGATTTACAGAGGGGCTGGTTAGGGACTTGTGCTGGGTAGAGGCTGTCTGACTCTCTTAAAATGATTGTGGCAGAGACAAAGGCTATGAGTCAGATAGCCCAAGAATATTAGTGGGTGTTCTGGAGGTAGGCTATTGCATTATCCTCTGTGTAACACTGAGGTCCTTGGTAGAGTGGAAGAGGCATCATCCCTTTTTATGTCGATAGAAGAGTTCTGTTGAGGTATGCAAGTAAACTTGCCTAAGTGCATGTAAGTTACAGTGTAGTTGTTTATTTTTCCGTTTTTTCAATAAATATTGTAGAACATGTGTGTCAGATATCTTGGATACATCAATGGATAAAACAAGACAAAAATTCCCACCTTTGTGGAGCATACATTCTAGTGGAGGGAGTGTGAAGGGAGGCAGATAAGCATGAAAGATATGTAAATTATTTAATGTGTTAGAAGAGAAACACTATGGAAAGAAAAAAATGACCAGGATAGGGAGTACTGGGAAAGGCTGCAATTTTAAATGTAATGGTCAGGGTAGGCCTAATTGAGAAGGTGACATTTGAGCAGCTGTTTGAAGGACAGGGAGTGAACAATGTGACTCTGTAGGGGAAGATTTCCAGGCAGAAGGAACAATTAGTGGAAAGGCTCTGAGGTGGGAGTGTGCCTGGTGTGATTAAGGAGTAATGAGCCCCATGTGTCTGAAATGGATGAGAAGAAGAGTAGCAGGAGGTGACATTGTAGGGTGTCAGAAAAAGAATGTGGTTAATGGAAAGGTTTTTGTTAAATTCTGGCTTATTATCAATGATACAGATTAATATTAAATTAATTTTAACAATAAATATATTCTATTTAAATTTGCCATGTTAAAATGTAATTATTACATTTTAGTAATGTAATTATTACATTATGTAAAAATGTAATTATTACATGTAAAATGTAATGATTAGATCTTAAAAATGTAAGACTAAGATTATGAGTGTCAAAATTTAGTATCAGTTATTTTATGTTTGAGGAATAACGTTTTTAAGTTCTCTATTCTTAAAGTAATAGTTTTCAATTCTTTACAGAATGATTTGGAACAAGTACTACGTCAAATTGGTGATAAGGACCAAAAGATCCAGAACCTTGAAGCCTTATTACAGAAGAGTAAAGAAAATATTTCGTTATTGGAAAAAGAAAGAGAAGATCTTTATGCAAAAATTCAGGCTGGTGAAGGAGAGACTGCTGTTCTTAACCAGTTACAAGAAAAAAACCATACATTACAAGAACAAGTAAGCTTGTAAAATGTATTATATTTCTAAAATTTACTTTTATCTCTCTAAATCTTACTAAATGTTTCATTTTAAATGATTCTTTCTGCATCTTTTTAGCACATTTTAAATGTTTTGTATTTTTGACTAATAACATCTCATTTACCTTAAGAGGTAGGTCGCCTTTGTAGTAAAAAGTTAGTTAACGTGATTTAACAAAGGAAATCCTCAGCTCATGTCCATGGATATAAATTATTACCTGTGAGACTATGGGTAAATAATTACACCTCATTAGCTTAGTGGAAAAGTAGAATGTCATTAGTAATGCATTCTTGCCTTATGGCATTTTGTGATGTTTAAAAAAAAGAATGAATAACAAAATATATTCATAAATTAAAGGTACTGATCAAGTGTTAGTTGTTACTGTGTACCGATTAATACACAGACTTAGCAGTTACTTACTTTTGATAATATATATGTCTGTGGACAATATATAGCTAATAATTTTGATAAGCCTATCCTAACATTTATATGTAGTTTAAGAGAAACTTACAAAATTTAGATTAATACATTTTCAAACAGAAAAGAAATGGTTGCACTTTTGGAAAAATTGTCTAATAAGAGAGTTGTTATTTAAATAATAAAGTATTTAAAACAAAGTATCAGAAGGCCATGTCATTTTTCTAATTTGAGAATTAGAATTTAACAGATTTTTCCCCCCAAATTTCAAAGTTAGTTTTGAAGGATTCTTTTTTTTTTTAAGAGACTGGGCCTTGCTTTGCTGCCCAGGCTGCAGTGCAATGTTATGATCATAGCTCACTGCAACCTTGAATGCCTGGCCTCAAGCAATCCTTCTGCCTCAGCCTCCCAAGTAGCTGGGACTATAAGCACATGCCACCATGCCCAGCTAATTTTTTAATATTTTTGTTGAGATGGGGTCTCACCCTGTTGCCCAGGTTGGTCTTGAATTTCTGGCCTTGAGCAATCCTCACACTTTGGCCTCCCAAAATGCTGGAATTACAGATGTGAGCCACCACCCCTGGCCTGAGGAATTCTTTAGGTTAGTTTTTGGTTGTACATAACTTGACATTGCTTATTATACAAATATGATCAGGAAGCCATGTATTTTTTTTTTTTTTTTAATTAACTCTGTGTACTGCTTCTGACCATGTTGGGATAACTGGTATCTATTTAGTCCTCCTACCATTAACAATTAGAAAAGTCAAAAAAATGTATAAAAACCACCATTTTCAGAAATTGGACAATAGACAGTATAGGACTGTGATCCCTGACAGAAGGATCAGAAACAAATGAGGTGAATTCTTTGACCACTGTAACTTTTGACCCAGAGACATTTTCCAGATTGTGGTGCAGATTGGGAGAATCCAAGGAAAGCGCAGTGGTCTTATTGAACTGAGGAGTGAGAGATTGAATTTAGTTGAGAGATTAAAGTTCAGGTAGGTTAAGGCAGCTCAAATTTGCAGGGCAGAATCTCCAAGAGGAAGAAGCAAGCAGAGAAAAAAACTGTAGAAATCTGCACAGGGATCCATTTAAGGCTTTGGTTGAATGCTAAGCTTTGCATTTATAAGGCTGAATTCCTTGAGGCCAGGCAATGAACCGTATCAGGGAGCTGCAGGCTGAGAAATTACAGAGCTCACGGAGAGCTGGGAGATGTACAAGTTCCAGCTAGTCAGAGGAAAGATGTGGTTGAACTCTTGGCCATTCAATAGAAACACAAGAAATGTCACACCTTAGGAGAGGAGTAACTAGCCCTAGAGTAAAAGCTATCATATACCTTACCTAACGAAGTATAAAAACGAGCCTCAAAAAGATCCAGTTGAACCACAAATATATTAACTACCAGCTGGGACAAAACTCAGCATTCTTTGAAAGAAGACAACAAAATTCAGACTGGTCACAATAAATAGCAAAAAATTACTACACATGTGAGGGAGTAGGAAAAATGTGAGCAATAGCCAGGAGAAAGATTGTTCAATGGAAGCAAATCCTGAAATGAGAGATGATGGAATCATCAGACAAATACTTTTAAACAGCTCTTAAAATATACTTGTGGATATAAAGGAGAAAGTATGATAATGGAGGTAGAAATGGAAACAATAAAAAAGAACCAAATCGAACTTCTAGAGGTAAAAATATAAAAATACATGAAGTGCAAATTTCATTGGATGGACTTAATAGAGTAAGCAAGTAGAAAACAACATCAGTGAGCATGAAGACAAGGCCATTGAAACTGTTCAAAATGAAGTACAGAAGAAGAAAGGGTTTAGGGGAGAAACAGTACCCTGGTGACCTGTGGGACAGTTTCATGTAGGCTAGCATCCATGTAATTAGTATCACAGAAGGGTAGGAGAAAGAAAATATTTGTAGAAATTATCGCTAAAAAGTTTTAAAATTTGATTAAAAATATAAATCCACAGATTCAAAAAGCTCAATGAACTCAAAGCAAGGTACATCAAAGAACTATCAGATGAACTGGATTTCATCTAAATTTTTTAAAAAGTATGCTCTTCAGAAGATACCATTATGAAAATAAAAACAAAGACACAGAGTGGGAGAAAATATTTACAGTACATATATCTGGCAATTTAGAAATGTCCAGAATATATAAGGGACTCTTGTTACTTAATTAGATTAGTGATTGGCTGGGGCTAGAGATGTTGGGGGGAAATGACTTCAAAGAGGCGTGAGAAAACATTTCTGATAATGGAAATGTCCTCCAGATTGTGGCTATGGTTGGTTAAGTGAGTCTATGTGTTTATCAGATTTCACATTGTATTCTTAAATTGGATTAATTTTATTTCATGTAAATTATAGCTCAGTAGAGATGATTTAAAAAATAATGTGTCTTTGATTTATTTCTTATGATTTATTATGTTTACTTATTTTTGGAAAGATGTGAATACTGTTACTTGAAAAAATTTGAGATAACCTATCATAGAACAGTTTAATGTGCTCACAGTGTTTAAATTTGGGTTTGTTAGTTTTTCTTATATCATTTATGAACTTCATAATTAGAGTCTTGCTTGTATGATAGGTAACTCAGCTAGCAGAGAAGCTGAAGAATCAGTCAGAAAGCCATAAACAAGCCCAGGAGAATTTGCATGACCAGGTACAAGAGCAGAAGGCACATCTTAGAGCTGCGCAAGACCGTGTCCTTTCACTAGAAACCAGTATCAATGAATTAAACAGTCAATTAAATGAAAGCAAGGAGAAGGTCTCCCAGCTTGACATACAGGTAATATTGGGTTATGCTATTTAATAAGTTTGTATATATAACGTACCAGTTTTAGGCTATCAAATATTTTAAATTCTGTTTTTCTCTCTTTTTTTCCTTGCATATTAATAGAAAAAAATCAAGAATATGAATTAGGTAAAGGTTGTATCTAGACAGTTTGTTGAACTTCCCTGTTCGTATAGGCTCTGCAAGCTACACCTTCTGAAATCTGAATCTTTCAGCTTTTCTTTGTTTTGAACAAGTACATATTATTATTTTTGAAGTCCAAATTAGTTTGATATTATACCATTAGATTTCTGTTTTAAATATTTTGACTTTGGTTTTTTAAATCTTCCTTTAAAGCTTTGATTTTTAAAAAGATATCCTTGTATGGTACCATTATATATTCTAATGTATATTCTTTTGGAAATCTAGGTAGCAGTCTTGCTCAATGAGTCAATCACAGGGTGGGAAGTAAAACATTTCTTTCTGCCTTCTCATCATTGGTTTCTTATACAGTGCTATAAAAGTGAAATTTATAGAAATATTTTTAAGCCTTGATTTTATTATAGGAGAACGATTCCGCTGGAAATAAGAAATATAACAAAATAATATAACCGGTATACTTTATTAGAACTTGGAGAGAGTACACATTGTCTTCATTTTTCTAAATATAATTATTTGTTAGATGAGTTATATGATAACTCAATATATGCGTGTCCAATTTAAGGGGAGGGGGAGGGATAGGAGAGGGAATGGGAGGAGGGAATATGAACAAACAGATACAGTAGGACAGTCTATGATTCTTTTTGCATTGCAGGATCCTTCCCTTTACAAAAGATTGCCTTGCCACTGCTATTCATTTTAGAACTAGTTCTTATAAGGAGATCAGCCAATTTTTTTCCTGTCAGTGCTCCGTTTATCACCTTTAAAATAACCTCTTTGCCATTAGTCTTTGAAAAATGTTACCTATAGGAATTTGTTAGTTTTTTGATGCTTTTTTTCTAAGACTGCTTTAA